CTATTGGTCTACCAGAATAGTGTTTATGATCTTTGGAAAGAGACAGAAAAACCAGATTGCTCAATGTTAAAAAAAATGACACTCGTCATCGGATAAACAATCGGAGCAAAAAAAATTCGATCTTTTTAGTCAAACTCCTGCAGTAGAACCTAACATGTCAGAACATCTGAGTTGTTGCATGAATAAGTGCCAAAACCCCATTTTTATATTTATGGAGTCTTTAGGTTACAGGCCATGTGAGGAAGACCTTCAGAGGTTAGTGACAAATGTGATGACAATGTCTTGATGCTCAGTGGTGGAGTCATGGTCCAAGTTAAATCAGGAAGAAGTGTCAGAGAGTTAGCATTTGGCTTCTCGAGGAAAGAGGTTCATTCTCCAAGCAATAACAGCACTGCATTGTCAGTTGAGTGCATGACAATGTTAGGTTAGATTGAAGGGAATGGAGTGCAGAAAAGTCAAAAGGAGACAGATTAGAGTGAGTAGGGGAGGCAAAGAAATTTCGACAGCTGAGCTACAGCCAGCAGTTCTTAATGAATAGATCTAGAGAAGGTGAGAAACCAGAGGAGGGGTTCAGGTAGAGCGTGAATGCTGAAGATCACAAAGGTCCTCCTCGCCAAAGAACAGGATGTGAAGGCAAAGGCCTGGAAGAAAAGTAAATGTTGTTACAGAAAATAATCCTTGTGTTGAAATAGGTGAACCTGAGCCCAATCAAAGTTGAAATCCAGATTTCATCTTAGTTAGGCTGGTGAGCTGCTAACACCATATCCCATCAGGCATCTTGCCACTAAAGTTGACATCAATTCAAGGTAATTGTCGCAGTGGCAGTGGCACATTTGCTAAGACCTGTAGGGGAGGGAGGTGATCAAGCAGTGGTCTACAATAGTATTGAAGTTTGTTGTGGAGTCAGTAGGAGCAGGAGTGTCCCTTACAGTTCCACATTACGTAGATTTTCTTCGCAAAACAGATCTTTTTGATTGCAGGCTTTATGAGCTGTTGATTAGGCCATATGTAGGCTTGAAAATAGTCCAATACTGATATTTCCCCCTTTTAGGCCAACCTAAATTGTAATAGGAATCGTAAAGTAGGCAATAGGCTATATTGTTGTATAAACAAAATGCCTGTTTCAGGAATGAGCACTGGCCTTATCTTTTACAAATATGCAAGGTAGCATTCTTCTGGTGAGAATGTTTACATACAAGTCACCCACCATATTGGATCTTTCTAGTGCCATTTCTACTCCTGTATTTCTTAAAATTGTGGAAGAACTTGCAAAAATGTTTATGTAGAAATATATAATTGAAGCATACAGCAGTTGAATTCTGTAAAAGAACATAACAATTTTTGCAGTTCTGTAAAGCCTCAGAAATGTAATGGTGTAAGATTGAATGAGTTACGTTCACATCAGCCAAAACAAATTTTGGTTGTTCTCTGTCACAGTCCCTGCCTGTGAGTCAGAACCTCTCGGCTGAATCCTATTTTTTTTACTAAGTCTGAGTTACATTGAGATTTTTGGAGAGTTGCTTGCCACGAAGCCAAGCCAGTTTTCTCACTGTAACTTATCAAACTCTCTTCCTTAAATACCTACACATTCCCCATGGCATCTCTCATATACAGTCTCCACCCCCATCTTACCACACGCCATTCCCAGAACATCTTGCCACTCAGCAAATATCTGGGAATTCATCAGCATCCCTTGTGCCCTAACCAATGTGCACCTGAACAAACACTGTCAGTCTGGACCTGCCCAGTGCAATTCTGACATTTGCCCTGGCTAGAGCAGACAGAAGGAAATTGACACCCTATTTTGCAGACAGCGTCCTGGAGGTCCTGTTGAATGGGATGGTGCATAACCTTGTCATGGAGGCCATGACACCAGGCCGTACTAGCCTGGTCTGAGGTTGCCACCAGATTAGAGCAGTCTCAGTCATCCAGAGGAATGCTCAGCATTGTAGGAAGAAGGTTAATGTCATTCTCCATTCTGCCAGCATAAGTGCAGCCGTGTTTTTTCCAATACCACGCACTAAATCTACTGCACCCACCGTCCACCAAGCCACATGCTCCACCACTCTCGGTATTGCCTGCAACTTCTTCCCCGCTCACTCTCACCCCAACCCCCGATACCACTAACCCTGCAAGCCCTCTGTGCTGTCTACTTGCTCGTTCAGGACAACTTCCCAGCTGCACCAACAGCAATAGCTGTGCCATCCACTTTTATCTCTTGTAATAATTAGCTCCCTTGCATTCCATGAGAAAAACACCAACAAGCAATAGTCCTGACTTAGACTACACTCTGTTTGGGTGGTCAGCTATTAGATACTGCCCATGACGTACTGCACCAGGACCCTCTGAGTGAAGGCTATCCCTCTTGATTGAGGCCTGCTTAAAGGTATAATAAGCTTTCTGGTTTTGTGTCCATGGTAAATGGCAAGACACAACCACAGTATGAGCTTGGGTATCTCTGGCTGAAAGGGCAAAGTGCAAAAAGGCAAGGCAATGATGTATTCATCTAGGTAGCTTCAAAGTCAGTGAGCACTTTGACAGCGAGGGAAAAGCCAAGAGATGCAGCCTAGTCCAATTCATGAACTGGGTACATGTCCGTGTTGCACAATGTCCTTGCTGCAGCATTACAATGATAGTTGGAAGTGCAGAAGTGTACTAATTGTGGGTCGGAAATGTGTCATTCAGGTTCTTATAAGCTGGCAAGTATCAGATGCCAGTGTCTGTGGATGTGGGATGTGTGTGACCAATGTCAATGGAGCATGCTTTGAAATGTTGGTGCCCTGTTTCAAACTCGGAGGTCATTTGGAGCAACCAGCAAATTAAACCCGCCAGGTACTCACTCTGGTTTCCTTTCTGTGTTTTCCCAATGTCTAGTTTATTTGGTGAGTTTGGTAAGATGGGAGGCCGAATATTATGAGGTGAGTTGTGGTGTTAACAGAGTGTTTAACAGTCAATAATGAGTGTCAATTACACCTCCGCTTGTGAAAAGCATGAAAGATGGCGCAAATAGCTCCCATCGTCGAGATGGGTTTCACCAGACTTCTCGTCCGATCGTGCCACAAATGTCACCATAGTCCACGTCGCTCAGACCCCCATAAGATTCCACCCTCTGGATTTGAGTCCTGTGTCAGGATTTATTGGCCAAGAACGATACCTTCATATCATATCCAAAATGAATACGAGCCTGCAAATGCTTCCAACATACACTATTAACAGGCCTTAGAGTGGGAGAGAGTCCTGGTCATATAATCAGTCATCACTATCCATAGCTACAGGCTACAGCACGCATGTAAAAGTACATGTTGCAACAGCAGTTTGGACTCACTGAATGATCTGTAACACACCACCACTTTAGAAAGTAACTACATTGTGAAAGTATCTCAGCAAGCACAATTTACTGCATTCGGTGTATTTCAGCAGAAATTCTATATAAGTAATACTGCAGTATTCCTAATCAAGCAGCATTTAAATGTTACATAATTGCTAATGCAGCTCTATTTACCAACTTTGGAGCTAGATAATACATGATGAATCACAGTATGATGATCACAGAATTCACAATAGTTTCATTGCAATCAATTACAAGTTTGGTCTGATTCTCCCACACCTGAAACTAGCTGCATTGATGCAAAGTCACTGCAATGATGTAATGTTGCCATATTGTCAAATATGTTGACATTTTATTGTCACAGCATTTATTAGTCATCATTAAGCATGGATCAAATAAATGCTGTAGTATAAAAGTGGAAGATTTCAGTTCTGTTAATCTTACAATTGTGCCTGATTAGAATTCGTTGTGGGAAGCTCACTATTGTAGAGAAACATTTCCCTGCACCCAGCTTCTCCACAGACCACTAATGCAGACATATGAAAAACCTGTTATCTTTGTTTTGTGGACAAACCAAGATGTCACAACTGGAATTTCACTTGGAAATGTTCAAGCTTTGGAGTGATCATGTTAACAAATGATAGGGTTAATTATTCAAATGAGCAGGAGGAAAGTATAAGCAGATCAACTGAAAGTGTTCTTCATCTGATAACACTGTGTTGTAGTTCCATTGAAGCAGTTTTTTTACCTCACTGAGGTGCCCGTTCTTCATGTGTGAAGCCATAATTTAAATGCCAGCAGCATTTGAATTTGGAAAGCGATAACAAACCTGATCCTGTCCTTGCCTAATACCCACAGATTTCCAACGTTGATACTGGGCAGAAGCCAGGATCTGAGACTCTAGCAGACTGTTTTCCCTGGCCTCTCAAAGGATGATTAGGCCAATTGGTATCACTCCCACCGTCATCCCCTGATAAGAGCCTCTAATTCTGCACAAGAAAGGATATTAAATGTGCAATGTTCCTGGTTTATATTACTCTAAGTGCATTAATCCTTAGTGGGGACAATATCACAGGACTTGAAAATACAGCATGTGTAAATCTGCAATACTGAGATCTAGCTATACTGTCATTTGTCCCAAGTTACAGTAGAATACAACTAGAATAGTTCGTATAATCTGATTCTGTAATTGTGTCCTTCAGGCAACTAACATCACTTTTTTTTAAAGGAAGAGATGATCTGATCATTATCTCCTTGTGGTTTGTGGGACTTTTGAGTTGGCTGCCATGATTTACATCATAATAGTGGTTACACTTCAAAACTGTAAAGGAGTTCAGGATGTCTTGAGGTTGTGAAAGGTGTTATATTAACACATGTACTTCCCCCTTTCAAAATAACAACAGAGCTGGAGTCGTTTATGTGATTGTAACATACAAATACAAATTTTGCCACAACAGTTAAAATTACTGCAGAAATTGCAATGAGACTTGTGCCAGTACTTATTACAACCTAACTTATTTTGTTCAAAATGTATTGTGCCTGCAATGGCATCCCTATTCATTGTATTCATTCATCCATTTCAAGCATTTAACACTGAGACTCCTTAAACATGTGTTTCAACATTAAGCAACTTTAGTTCTTATGCTGGAGAATGTCACCTTTTCTTTTTCAGCAATGGTACACAAGTTCCATGAATGTGATCTGCACCTGGCTAACAGATCGTATGGATCTACAGCTTCACATCTACCAGCTAAAAATCCTCATCAGACTTGTCAAGGTGAGAAAACCCTTTTGATAAAATTAGCCAAATTTAAGTCTTGGATTTTTATGATACTAAATATATATGCAGAGAACCATGCCTCTGGTGAAACTTTCCCATTTTTGGTTAAGTATCGGATGAGTTTGTTCGGTGGCAACTAACACCAAAGAAAACCTCGTCACCCATGAGTTGTTTCATTAAGAGTTAATGGGCAAGTGGGGGCAGGTTTCTTGGCAAATCACTGGCTCAACACTGGTGTCCCAGGTCACCAGAAGCTGCTTACCAATCAGAAGCTGGCAGCTTCTGCTTCCTTAAGTTCACCACTAAACCAGACTTCCTCCTCCTCAGGGGAATCCAACAACAAGAAGGAAAGACTACTTTATCTTATTAACGCAGGGTGGTAGTCACTGGAAGGGAAGGGGTGGTAGAAAGCAAAGGCAGGTGGATGACTTTCAGAAGCCACACGCTTGCCCTCCATCCATCCCTGTAATTGTCTCCAGATTGGAATGAGTAGAGGCCACTGCAAGTAGGTCGTCATGGTTTCCATCTTTGTTGCTGACCAGGGAGGCAGGTGTTCAGGGATCTAGTGGGATAGGCCCTTAAGTGGCCATTAATTGACCTTACTTAACAGTAGGTTGAGAAGATCATTCATGACCTTCTTACCTAGAATTTTATTTCGGAGGTTGGAAGAAGGGGATAGATTTCTCTCCAGGATAAATTCACCCAATCATTTACCCCTTCTCAATGTCGCCAATGAGGTAGATAGTTTCATTCTATTCAAATGATAGTGACATAGAAGGATTACAAATAAGAATGTAAAGTAAGGTAAAAATCCCAAAGGACTGGAAGGCTAGGGCTGCTCTCAGAGAGGGAGAGAGAGAGAGAGACAGCTCGTGATGGTTTAACCTGAGGGTCATCATGCCTAAGGCGAGTGACAAGGTTGAGAAGACAGGACCTTCATGGTGACTTCAGCCAGTACAGAAATTGAACCCATGCTGTTAGTCTCAATCTGTATCTTAACCAGCCAACTGAGCTAACCGACCCCACCCCCCAATCACTACAATTACAATACGATTCACCCATAAACTAATAAAGCCGTTCTAATTTTTAAATTAAAGCTAAATATGAAAACGGTGGCATCCCTTTATATTCGAGATTGCAGTAACCATGGGCTCATTTTTGCATTTTACGACAATTTTTGTCACTTGATATTTTTGTACATACAGAATCTATTAGTCCTGTAACATTCCTTAGGAGGCATACTTTGAGTGAATGTCAATATTTATGAAACACAAATTGGATTCTTATTACTGACTATGGGCTAGCAACCTCGGTGCTTCCAAATAAAATGAAAGGAATAATATCCAGTTCCCCTAGTTATTCATGAGACATGTAACTGAGTAATACAAACCAGAAGGTCCCAGATTTGATTTGCAATCTGTACTGACAGAGTTCTCTGAACTCAGTTGGAATGACAGTAGGGGTGCTACAGTTAACTTCAGTATCCCCAAGCAAAGATTCATATGATGATACAGGATTGAAGCAGATTATTCAGCCCATCAGATTTGTACTGACATTTTGAAAGAGTTATGCAATTAGTTCTATTCCCCAGTTCTATCTTCCTAATGCTACATTTATTTTGCAGTGCGAGTATATATGTAGTACTTTTCTCTCAAAGTTTCTTTAGAACCTTCTTCAACCATCCTTTCAGACAATCTCGATCATAATGACTGGCAACATTAAACTAATTTCTTATTGGATTCTTTTTCCAAATTTCCAAATGGGCCAAATCTTTACCGAGCCAGAATGACACCATACATCTTAAAGTGCAATGGAAACCAGATGTGGAGGTCCTGTCCTATTTCCAACAGATGCAAATGTTGCTGATGGGGCAAAGTTAAGGTCATAATTCATTTAGATAGGAAATCCAAATCTAGCAGGATCATTTCAATTGATCTGAGCGGAGTTCAAATGGATTCCATTTTGGCTGGTCCAAACCTTTTAATCCACAGTGTAAGGGTCACAAACTGATGGAATAGATATAAATGCTCCTGTAGGGCAGATAATGTCACAATCTGAAGGCTTTATTAAGAGTCCCACTGTCTAAGCTTCAAAAAAAAAACACAAGTTGCTGCTTTCAGTGATTGCTTTTTTTAAATAAAATCCTCTAATTGACTGCTTTGGCAGTTGTCCATTAGAATAAAAAGTAGCATATGCTCAAGTAGTTTCAATAGAGGTCTTTGGTGATACTCATTCAAGTCAATTATTGTGTCATTATGAATGTTTGGCTGACTTTCGAGCAGTGCTGTCTCTCCAAGGGGTTCAATGGCTGGGGACGAGGAGGGGTGGGGGGTGCGGATAAGATGGGGCAGCGGGGGAGGGAGGAGGTTCCAGTCTGGTGGCAAGGGGCTGGGATGGTTGGGTCTACAGTGGGAGGTATCATTTCCTGGGGAGGGAAGGGAAGGCGGGCCAGAGTTTGGGGAGTGTATAGGGTCTGCGGAGGTGAGATGTAGTTGAGTGTGCTTGAGATAAGTTGTGAGGTCAGTTTAATAGTTACTCAAGAGTAACTAATTGAACAATTGCAGTGAAACCGTCCGAGTTGTCTGATTTAAATCTAGGTGGAGCCAGAGAGGAGTGTGCAGCAGGTCAGCATTATCAGTGAAGCAGACCAGTCGGGTGGATCTGTATGAGAAGGGCAGCAGCAGTGGGGGATCAAACCAGGAGCAGAGAGACCCTTCAGTCTGTTTCTACCTGTCAGAGTCAAAGTGTAGTGTCACAGAAAAGCATGTAGGTGATTGGTGCATTTTTCTGCCTTGCCCCCTCTGATTTGTCAAGCGGTTTAAATCAGGAGACATTATTACAGCTGAGGAATACTGTTACCAAATTCACTTTTAAACTATTTAACATCCAACGTAATTAAATAAATAGAATAAAGATGGCTATGCAGGTGTGTTATGATCCATAGTGACCACATCTTCTACATCGAGTTTTGGCTGCTCGAGGAACTTTGGCTCAGCGTTGATGAACTGGACTCCGAGCTGTAAACATTGAGACATGTCGGGGAGGGGAAGAGATACCAGGACATCCTGTTCAGGAGACCATCAGAACCCTTACATTAATCACATCAAATTGGGTCCATGGTCAGGAACAGAAGAGTGTGAATGCTGGTCAGGTATGGGGATCCAGAATTCAGCTTTAGGGCCTCAGCCATGGCCCTTATCCAATTGGTACGAGATTATAGCCCCCAGCTGTGTTGGTTACCCAGTGCCAAGGTTCAGGACATCTCTTCTCTGCTGGAGGGTAACTTGAAATGGGAAGGGAATGGTCCAATTGACATGGTCCATTAGGTACCAATGATGTAGATTCTGCTCAGGAATTCAGTTAAAGAGCAACATCTCAAAGGTAATAATGTCCAGCTTACTACCTGGGCCATGTCCACTTTGGGGTAGGATAAATAAGAGTAGAGAAGTAGATGCGTGGCTCAAAGATTGGTGTGGGAGGAATGCATTCCAGTTCATGGAGCACTGACACCAGTACTGACAAAAAGAGCTGCTTGTTTGGAGCAGGCTTCCTTTGAACCATGCTGGAACCAGTGTATTGATGATTTATATAACAAGGGTTATAGATAGGGGTTTAAATTAATTAGTGGGTGGGAAGGGTTCAATTGAAGGGAAATTTAAAAAATCAAAATGAAGCAAGAGAGCAGAAGTGTGGGTAGTCATGGGGTGGGCAAGAACCCAAGTGTGACAAGAGATGGCAAAAAGTATATGCAACAGAGTGCAGCAGAAATTAGAACCAGAGTAAGTAATAATGGTACATTATAATGGTATTTGCAACAAAATAGGTGATTTAACAGCACACGTGGAAATAAATAAATATGACTTGATAACCACTACAGGGATGTGGTTGCAAGGTGACCAAGTCTGGAAACTCAATATTCAAAGGTATTTATCATTCCAGGAGAATAGGCAAAAAAAAAGAGAAGGATCTGGGGCAGCAATGTTATTAAAGAAGGTATCAGTGCAGTGGTGAGTAGTGATACAGGTGTAATAGACCAAAATGTGACATCGGTTTTGGTGGAAATAAAGAATAGCAAAGGAAAGAAGTCACAGATGGAAGTTGCATATAGACTCCCAAACAATTTCCTGACTGTAAGACAAATTATAAATCAGTAAGTAATGGAGGTGTGTAAAAAGGGCACTACAATTATTATTGGTGATTGTAATCAGCAGTTTGACTGGACAAATCAGATGGATCATGGTAACATGGAATATGAATTTTTAGAGCAGAGCAGAGAGAGGGAGACACCAAGAGGATATATTGAGGTCCAGGATCAGGGACCCAGCACTTTAGCTTTAACACAGCAGCAAGAGGGGAGGCAGCAAGAAGATCTGTTTAGAGGGGAGTCCTAGTTTAGCAGCTGCAGCTTCAGCTTCAGGGGGCTGCTGACTGAGAAAACGATGCCACCACAGGGCAGTGGTAGGTTGATTGGATTGTGATCTTAAAATGTGTTTTTTTTAGAAGAAGGGATTATCTGAAAAACTATAGGAATAAGTGTAAGTCAGGACCAAGACAATAAAAATAACATAAGTAAGCAAAGTATGGTAAGGAAAGTAAAGTTAGCATAAGGGAGTAAGCTTCTAGTATTTGTAGCATTTTTTTTAGAAAAATGCAGTAACTAAAAGGTTTAAGAGAAGTCATAGCAGCAGAGTTTGTACCTGTGATATGCTCCTCCTCTGCTATATGGCAAATCATGGAAGTTTCAGTGTCCTGATGACCACATGTTCAGGAAGTATGTCCAGCTGTAGTTACTGCATTTTGGAGCTGGAGCTATGGAGTATCCGCAATGCTGAGTATGTCATGGATAACATGTTCACACTGCAGATGAAGACTGAAAAGGCAGAAAGACCAAGCAGAGCAGAGAAAAGGAAGTAGTGCAGGAGTACCCTGTGGCCACCCCGCTTTCTAAATAGATAAACCATTTTGGATATTGTTAGGGGAGAAGATTGTTCAGAGGA